GGGACTTGATTTTCTATGGCACTGAAACACCCGCCCAGCCGGAAGACGACATTCACATTAGCGATGGCCTATTTGGCAACGATATGGGGCACAATGACATCGAATACGATGCTAATTTACAATGGCGAAATATGCAGCAGGTAAATATCTAAAATAATTACAAATAACAATAACAATCAATTGAGGTTGATTAGTTGTGTATGCAATGCAAATACATACTGATTTATTGCATACATACATAAATATCTTGCGAGTATGCTAAAATATTTAAATATCCGCGGGCATTTGTCGAAATTGCTGTTAAATATTTAAAGTTGTTTATTCCACGATTATCGAAGCGATGGCTGAAAATATTAAAAATATTTAAAGAGGCCCACAAATATGAGATATTTTTTAGTATGTCAACGTAAAATATATATGCATACATATAAAAGTGTACAAAATAAAGACATAGACAAAAATTTCAAAATGTTAAAAAAATATATTTTTTTTTAAATCGCAAAAATTCAACAAAATTTTGACTCTGACCAGTTATATATGTATAACGCGGCGAGTTTATAAATTTAAATGAGGTAGTTTCAATAAAATATCAAATTTATCAGATTTAAAGTCAAAGTTTGGCCGAATTTTTGCGATTTAAAAAAAATAAAATAATTTTAAACAACGGTAAACTTTGAAATTTCGTGGATATTTCACCGTGCGACAAAAACAAAAAATTTCAAGACACACGAAAGAATCGATATAGTCACGAAACAATGGGCGTTTTTAATTTTTCACTCTGAAGTCAGGATTTTTTTCAAAGAACTTTGAAATTTTAAAGATATGATTTATTCAAAAAATTATTTAAAAAAAATCAGTGCAATTTAGAAAAACAACATGGGTACCAAATTAGAGAGAAAATGCTGTAGAATTTAAAAGCAATAAAGTTTTTGGTTTTACAAGGACGAATAGGTATTGAAAATGCGCTTTTAATAAATTTTATCTTTTTAAGTTAATACAGTTTATAGGATGAAATTCGATGATGAGGTCGTGCGTATATTAGTCCTCAAACAATCTTTTTTTCAAAAAAAAAAAAATATTGGAAATTTTCAAGGACATTTAAGAACAAAATTTGCAAAGGATATTTTCCATACACATTTGTCCTTATGCATCAAAAAATTTATTCTGTTATAATTCTAAAGAATTTTTTCTTTTATATGATACCCTTATTATTATCCTACATTGCACCGAGTATTTTAAATAAATTAACTGAAAAATGCTTCTGGCCCAAAGTGATTCTGGGCAGGTGAAAGGAGCTATTAATGCCACGGCGATGTTAAGATTGAATAGTGGAGTCCAATGCTGCAATATCTAGTCTAAACATATATACTTTGTGGATCCATGTGCGGTCTTTATGTACCGGTTACTTTAATTTATTGAAACTGACTTTAAATTGTGCTTTAAATTAGTAGGAATTCAAGCGACTTTAAAAAAAGATGCGCCCTGCTGCCAACTTCCTCTCTTCCTTCCTTCCTTCCTTCCCCGCAATGTAATTCATAAGAGCACAGTTTCTTACTTCCTTCAGCATGAGCGACACCAGAAAACAACCGTTGCACAGTTATGGAAAACACGCACAAGCTGCTTGCTACCTAGCGTGCGTGCAAACAAGTTTTGTTACATTTATACATACATGCATACATACAAACATACCTCCTACTGCTGTTGTCGGCCGGCCACATGCCTAGCCTTGCGATTTCCCGCATTGCCCAGCTGTTGTTGTTGTTATGCAGAAAGCAACTCATTGGTAAAAACGGCAGTACGAAAAAATTTACATGGCAAAGGCCAAACCTTGCATGTTCGGCTACACAGAATTTTAATGCGGCCTCTCGATATCGGCCTACATGACTTTGCCGACAGCTGGTTGGTAGGTGCAAATATCTGCAGAAACATGCAGGAGGTGTTTGCAAACATACATAATTTCGAGACACCACAAGTTTACAGCATTCCATCAGGTATGAAGAAGTAGGGAGGGAAGGCAGAGTGCCTTGCTGTTTGGCGAAGTCAAATGTGCGCCTGCTCTTCTGCAGTGGATTTCTTAAATTTTAAAATTTCGCTCTTAATTTGAATAAATGCGCTTGGCAATGAACGCTGGTTGACTGACTCTTCTGCTGCGAGTTACTTGGAACAGTGCACATATTCCATGCCATTTCACTGGCATAATTTCAAATCACCGCTTGGCGTGCTGACAGATTTCCAAGTTAATAAATTTGGTAATAATTTTTGTTTAATGAAAAACTGCATTAGTTCCTTAAGTGTTGCGGAAAAGCGAAAAATCTGAAAAGCTTAACCAGTTGGAATTGAAAATTATATAGTATGTAAATATGTTATTGTATTTTTTGGAGCTTTGACCGGCGTTTCTTTTGCTGAATTTGAGTTTCAAGTATAAAACAAATTTAAATTAGGTACACTGCTAAATGAACTGTACACGAATTTACCCTTTTCGCTTGTTTGGCTGTGTCCTCGGCAGGCTTTTCTTGTGTTCAAGGATGTATGCATGTGTGTCCGCAGGCTGACAATGTCACTGGTTGTTCAACAGTAATATAGGTTCCGCATTGACTTCACCAGCAGACCACCAATTGAGCACCATAGATAATATAGCACAACCACATATACACCGATACACAAAATTTCTATGCTTATTCGTATAAATATTAGGAATGTCCTTGTTCTACTATTTTGAAGATACAAAATAAGAAAATTTAATAAATGTAAAATAACTCAAGGCAATGAATGGGCCTCATGTGTAAAAAGTATTGAAAACCGAGCCGGAGTTAAGCTCAATTTTCATGCATGAGGCCGTTAGCACGTTGCGCTTCAATCATCGTTGTGTTCACTCAGTTGCTCCAGGAACCGTTAATGAGCCCAGAAGTATGCAACAAAAAATATTCGAAGCAAATTGTGTTATTGGGATGTTAAAAGTAGTTCCAGGGAGATCGTACTCGATATGCATTTTATAATGAAAAACTAAAAAATTATTAGATAAAAAAATAGGAAAAATAATAGACAAACATTATAGGCAAAGGCGGCCTGATTTTTTTTGAATACGTAGATATTTAATTGCTTTTAAGTTTTAGACAATTATAATAGGCAAATTTAAATATATTTTCCAGCCTGAAAGTTCTCGAAAATCCCAAAAAAAATCTTGAAAAATTTCGAAACACAACGAAAATTATAATACAAAATATCTCGAAAAATTCAGAAAAGTAAAGAAGTCCCCAAAGAGAAAACATCACAGTGACGTAAAACCCCACAAGCCAGGAAGAACGTGGAAAAATATAAACGAAGTATTCCAGAATTACCAAAAAAATCCAGAATAGAAAAAAATCAGATAAATTGCGGTAAATTTCCACTATTTCCGAAGTACCATGAAAGGTACCGAAAAAATTCAGTTCACGAAAATTTCCGAAAAAAATTCTGAAAAGTCCCAAAGTGCTTAAGATTTCGAAAATATATCAAAAAAATCCCGAACTCTCTGAAAAAGAAAACACGAAGTATCCTGAAAAATTCCGAAAGATCAGACAATCACCAAAATCCTAAAATATTTTCGTAAACTCTAGTAAAAACTCCGAAAACGTCATCGGAAACTACTAAATATGTCTAAAACGTAAAATACGAAGCATCCTAATAAAAATCCAAAATTTTTACGGAAAATCCCGAAAAGCAAAACATGGGGAATGCGGAATGGTCCGGAAAAATTTACGAAAAGTGCCGCATAGTTCCTAAAATACGGAAAAGATTCCGAAAAAAATCCAAAACTTCCGATAAATAAAACAAAAGTAAGAATTGTATATAATTTATTCCGAAAAGGCACGAGAAAATACATAAAAGTGCCGAAAATATTCCAAAAAAAATCCTCCCGAAGAATTGCGTAAAGTGAAACATGAAAGAAATGGGAAGTCCCGAAAAATAATCACAATAGAAATATCTGAATATCAGAAGAGAAATATCACAAAATTTACAGTTACACATTTTTTGCACATGAAATAATCAGAAAAACTTTGTTGATATTTACACTTTTTGCCTTAAAATATAAAACGCAAAAATTATCGGTTTTTCTTGTTCAAAATAATAAAAGACGGTTTAATTTTAGATGTTATACTGAGTTTAAAAATATGTACTTGTTGTTAATCAATTTTTTTTCGAGACAAATGAGCACCTCCCTAACGAATAGCAAGTATTATTCTCTTTATNTCTCTCGCCTGCTGCCTACTTACCCAGTTGAATAAGCTGATCTCTCCGTACGAGTACATACTACATTGTAATAACTCAGTGGAACTTTGTTCTGCCATAGGATCCGGTTTACTTGGTTGAACGATTTTTTGTTGGCCTGCCGCTGGTTAGTTGACGACAGTTTTTATTTTGTTGCATCGTTGAAAAGAGAAAATAAACA